TATGATCCACAAGATCAAATCCCTTAGAGAAGTTAGAAAAAAACAACCTGACATACATCTCACCACGGTCACTCGTCTCCAAAATTGTGTGAAGTAAATATACCAATGCCTATCAGCTATCAGATTATAATGCTGTACGAGTCTTTTAAGCTCTCTGGAGTATTGTTAATTGAAATATACGTGAACTGTTAGTTAACTGATAGTCATCTGTAAGTTAATTCTAAGTTAACTAATGAATGGCGCCGTTCTTTTGAAAACAAATTATGAAGTACCGATTGACTCATCTAATGCGTTTTACCCTATTTTTTATTATCTGAAAGCCTATGTAGTCCACAACACAGCCTCAAAGCTGTTTTAACCCAAATTGTTAAGTGCAACAGGATGGTGTAGCATTAGTTGCCCACACGCTTTTGAGTCCAACAAGGAAGGTTATAAAGCGATGCTTTTCAACGTCTTTGCTAATGATCTTTGTCTTTTTCATTACAGCTGTATGCAGATGACACGACGTAATAAATAGCTCATTAGTGCCCACTGTACTTGAATTCGCCCTAGATAAAATAGCTCATCAAATAATTTATTAACCACCGAAAAATCTTTTTAATAGGCATATTTAACAATGAAATTAGAGCTGAAATTATTATGCCAGCTGAGAAGCAAAGCTTACAAGTCGGTTTTGTTGTACGCAAGCGGAATTGACGTCCGGTGTATTATTTCTATAGGAGCATAGTATAGCTCCTTGGGAGGGGTGAAGAGGTTAACAGCCCCCTCCCGCCTCCTCCTTCAGCAGCTTTTTTTGTTTTGTTTTTTATCCTTAATTAAACTAATAGAATAGGACTGTTTTAAGTGAAGCTTATCACTTCAACCTAATGACTCCTTTATTTTCTGTACCTGTTTATTTCCTATTTTCAAACGACTGCAAAGTTAAAGCAATAGCAGAACCAGGAGACTCGTTTTTCACAGGAAAGCAACTATAATATATATCAACTCATCATTTTTCATAGTTCTCTTTAAGTGACCACACAAGCCGGCGTGAAGACGAAAGCGACGGAAAATTGGCTATTATCGTCGAAGAATAAGGTCATTAATGTGCAGAGAGTAATTTCACATTCGATTCGGGGTGGTAGTCCCCTGCTCTGAGAAAAAAAAATAGCAAATCATTTGTTTGGCCATCGATTTAGCCAGAAGTCGTAAATCGATTAGAATTGATGATAACTGAAGCGTTATTGGAGAAAGCTCTTACAATAATCTCAGTGCCATTTGCCTTTCAGTCTTATCTATGTGGCTTACCCCCAATTCAACTGAGCTAAGAACAGCCGAGCAAAATCTTACGTCTAAGAGCCAACGTTTTCGCAAAAGAACGGCAGCTAGTAATAAAGACGAGAA